GAATTTTTTTTTCTTTTTCTTTTACAGCGGCATTCTATGTCAACACACTTAAAGAACATCTCTTACTAGAAATTGATACTATCCCTAACTGGTCTCACAGCAACCATCCTATTTTTCAGCATGACAACGCAACCCCACATACTGCAAAGATTACTATGGCATTTTTTAACTCTAATAAAATTCGGATTATGGACTGGCTACCTCAAAGTCCAGACCTTAACCCAATTGAGAACCTTTGGCATATTATTAAACAACAGGTTTTTAAAGTTAAACTGGCAAGTCTTTCTGATTTGAATCATATTGTTTAAAAATATTGAAATGACATATCTCCACTGATGTGTCAGCAGTTGATCGCAAGTATGCTACAATGAATTGCAACTTGCATTGCAGCTGAAGGAGAACCAACAAAATATTGATATTAAATAAATATATTGTTTTAATTATATATTTATAAAAAAAAAAATTATTAAGTACAATTTTTTTAAAAAAAATTTTTTTAAGTGTTCACAATATTTTGTCCACCATTTGTATTTGCTTGTAGCTGTTTTGAGAGTTGTGCCGAAATTTGGAAGTGAAATAGTTGTTTGGAACAATCATATGATCACTGTTTGTTACCATTGCTCCAGTATTGATTTTTGCTACTGTAAAGTACCAGTTAGTGTGGTTGGATATCCAAATATAGTTGAGTCTTGATGCTGCATTTCTAGAAATTTTCCATATAAATTTAGGGTTAAGTGGATTTAAAGTTCTGTAACAGTCAATGTAGTTCAAGTTTTATAAGACCCAAAGTGTTGTTAAGGTATGAAGTTGAGAGTTGTGTTTCTTGTTCACTGCTGATTGTTGATCCATTTGTGGGTTTGCTAATGAGTTAAAATTATCCTGGATAATTGTTTTCCAGTCTTTGTCATATCTTTTAAGAATTTTGTCTTCTGTTTATTTGTTTATCTTTTTTTTTTCTTGACCATCTCAAGCAGATATATATATTCCCAAGATACCTATATGTTCTTTTCCTTTAAATTGCAAGTCTATACTTATTTTTCTATCTGAATATTTAATAATTTTTCCCATGTGTTTGCTGATTTCTTTTTTGATTAATAGTGCAATTCCTGCTACTTTATTGTTGTTGCTCCAAAATATATTATATGCTGGATGCTTCCAGTATTTGTGATTCTTATTTTGTATCTCTGTTTCTGTTAGGAGAGCCAGTATATTTTCTTGCCTTTGGCTTTTTCTTTTGACTCTACTGTCACAAAGTCAAGAATAGCAAATCATTTTCTTGTATAATTTTGATTCTGGAAAATGTGAAATGATACTGCTTTAGTGAAGTCAATTATATTATACAGGTTATATTTAGTTGTATCTAATAGAAGATTTGTTAATTTGAGGATAAACCTGTTTTGTGCTAATTTAATTTAATTAGTTTTCAAAAGAAAATAGATTCTCAGTAGTTCTCTTTTGAAAAGAATATTCCATCTTTCTGTGATTTTGTTATAGTCTTCCTATGTTTCAAACTTGATTAGTATACTTTGCCACATGTGCTTTATATTTATTTTTAGGTTACGAATTTGTCTGAATTTGGTTAACTTTTGCTTAAGTTCTTGTTGATAAATATCTAGAGAAATATTTCAGATGCAAATAATTTTGTTTTTGACTACTGCCAGGTGTAGATTGGTCAGAATGGCTATGTGGTAATCATTATCTTGCTGGATTGACACTTTTCATGTTTTTTGTGTATTCTTTTGATTAGTAAATGAGATGATAATCAATTTTGCCCTTGTTGTTGTGCTATCTAGGTGCCTGTATAAAAGTCCAAGTGAATGACTGCTTTTTTAACTGCCTTGAGTTTTTGCTTTATGATGCCTGTTAGGTTTTCTGCCTGAACGGTTGTTTTGAAGTGAATGTAGCCATATTGAATTAGGATTTCAAAAAAGTACCAAACTGGTATCAAACTGGTATCAAAATGATACTGATCTATAGTAAATTTAATATATGGATTGTGACCTACTTATATGTTTTTATAGTAAATTTAAGTATCAAACTGGTATCAAAGTGGTATTGAAGTGATATCATTAGGAGCCCTATATTGAATATATCAGTCTGTGAATAAATTGAACAGTTGTCTGGATTGTTTTGATGGTTTGGTATTGGCAGGTAAAGTCTTTTTCATTTCACTCTTTGATTCTGTAAATGACAGGTTTTTATTTGACTCTTCAAAGATTGATGGGGTGTATGCTCAGTGTGCTCTTCCATGTCCATGCAGATGTCTTCTGCCCAGCTGTAGGTGGCATCTATTCCCTTTTCTGCAGTAGCTATCCAGTTGTATATCTACTTCAAACATTGTTAATTATTGGTTTTGGTTTTGTTTTTGTTGTACTTTGAATATCTGGTATTGCAAGTGATTGAAGATGAGCAGACTTCTGTTTCTGAAGTTGTTAGTACTATTTGTATCATAGCAGATAGGCCTTTTGAACTGACTCATTTGTTTACTGTAAATTTTAGGCAAATTTGGATAAACAGTGTTGATGGTGAAATGGCGAGTCTGTCACTTGGGGCAGGTCAAACTTGCGTAACGTTGGGGGTAGGTGGTTCTCCTTTTTTCTACTTGAGGCGTGGATTTGACTTAGCCGATCTTGAACCTATAATTAACCTTTTTCTTTCCTTTGTCACCCTTCGTCAATTGTTCGAGTCACTATCCCTTTTAGTGACTACCAGAATGACCCTCTCGCGGTGACATTACTCTAGAAGGGGGTTAATTGCCAACTTCCTTTTTAGGCACGTCTATCACACCACCACTTATAATAATTGTAATTAACACTCGTATGACTGTTTCACGCTTTTACAAGAATAGTAATTATGTTTATTACTTTTTTTATTAATTGATTAGTTTTTTGATTATTATTGTCTTTGTTATTTTTTTTATTCTTATTATTATTTTTTTTATCCTTGCTCTCTTATTTATATTCCTATGACTATCTGCTATAGGGTTATAACTTTATGACTCATAAACTATCAGACTATAAAATAAACTATCTAAACTTTTCATTACATCATGAGTCTATTTCTAAAGCATTTCTGTTACTCTGATTAGGTGCGTTACATGAACGTTACCTTACTGAAGCAATTTCCCTGCTAACAATAGAAAAGAGTTTTTTTTTAATTAAATTTTATAACTTATTTATATTATAAAAAATATAGTTTAAGATATTCTTTATTAACTTTATTCAGTAAAAAATATTGGAAATTTTCAAAATAAAAAAATTTAAATTTTGTTTAAAATTTTAATATAAAAATTATATAAAATTTAGTATATATTTAAATTAAAAAAATTACTTTACTTCTAATACAAGTTAAATTTTTTATAACTAAAATCATTAAAATTGTAATTATTAAAGTTATTCTTTGCAAATAATTCTACAAAACTGATTATTATTATATAAACTTTAATTTAAAAAAAATTAAGTTTGTCTAAAATCCACTTTGATTAAAAAATTAAAAATTTTGCTTATAATTAAACTCTAAATTTTTATTAAATAAATGAAAAATAAATATTATCAATAGATAATATGTAATTAAAACTAATATTATATAAATTTTTAGAAAAATATTTTGATTATTTAAAAAAATAAATAAATAACAACTTTTTAGTTAAAATTTTTTAAATATTATAAAAAAAATGCCTTACAATTTAAGGAATAAGATAAATTTTTTAAAATTTAATAAAAAAAAATTTTTTTTCTAAAATTTAAAAAAGGTTAATGAAATTAAATTTTAAAATATAAAATAAGAAATATTTAAAGATTTAAAAATTTAAAATCTAATGATAATGTTATTATAATTGTTTTATAATTGATTGTTTGGTGCTGATAGGCTTTTTTTATATGAAATTCTTGATATAAGTTTCAAAATGAATACATATTTATCAACTAATATTAAGTATTAATAAAGATATCATTATTTTAATCTTTTTAAAAAGTTAAAACTCAAAAATTTAAATTAATAAATTTGTAATTGAAAAATTATATGATTAATTAACATCATATAATTTATATGATTTAAAATTTAGAAATATATTTTTAGGATAATGAATTTATACCATAAATTTTAATTCACTTTTAAAAATAATTACTCATATATATGAACTTTTGAAATAATTTTTGGCAAGAACATCTTGGCTGAAACTTGACATTTTTTCACTAATCATTATTTAATATTTTTTTAACCATGGAATGGCACTTTATAATTTTTGCTATGGAATGATATTTATCATATCAAAAAAAAAATAACCTTTCGAAAATAGATGTTAGGTGTTATTGTTGGATTATTGAAAGATAGGATTAGTTTTAATAAATACTCAGCTAATAAGAAAGCCTGAATCAAACAAATTATTAAAAATGATGGATAGTTTTCTCTTACTTACATGTACACGAAAATAATTGTACTATATACAAATAAAATAATTTTTTCTCGCATTAGCCCATCTTCGATTGATATGAAAAAATGATTAAAAGTAACGTGCACGTGATTTCTAGGTTGACAAAATGTCACGATCAAACCATATTTCATGGAACGTATGCTAGGCAGTGAAAAGAAACCTTGTTCATATTGTTGAAGCTGTGTATTTTGACCTGAATACTCACATGATTTTGATCCTCACGGTTGTCAAATGATTTAATAATGCGACATGTGTTTAATGGATAATCAACCTAGCTACATACAGTACTTCATAAGTTGCATTCCAATCATCAATTCAAGAAAATTATGTTCACTGTAAATAAAAATATAAGGGTAAGAACGAGTCGAGAGTATTGATTTTATCTTTTAATAAACACCTTAGAACATTTTGTGGAAAATTGATAGCATGTACAGTATATAGTAATGAATTTTTGTGTCAGAATTGATTTATTTACTTTGGAAGTTATAGAAGCAAACTAACGCCTTTTATTTATATTTTGGAGCATCTAAGTTGCTGATAAGGAAATTACATATACTCGAGAAATAACCTAAAAAAAGGGTTCAAGATATGTACGCGGAATTTTTGTTCTTCTTTCACAATCGTCTATACCAGAAAATTCGCATTTGTTTCGTTCTTCCATGATAATTCTAGCACGTGCTTCTCCAATGAAATTTATTCCAGTCAGCTGAGTATAAGTTGCTTCATTAAGATTTGGTGGTTCCATAGCATAATTATAGCATCTCCTAGCAAAAGATCCGAAATATTCTTCCCAGTTGTCCTTACTAACGATTGCAGTCATTGGCTGATGAAGTTCAAGTTTTTTGGAGGATTCTAATGTGTAAAGAACGAAAGTATCCCCTGAACTCGTTGCTTTTTCATGCTCATCTTTAAATCTTTCCTGAGAAATGATTTGTTTCACCAATTTACATTGATGTGTCTCCGTTTGTAGTAGTTCAGTCCCTACCATTTTTATTGAACAAAAGCTATCTCCAGATTCATTGATTAGAATATGACTCGCTTTTGTAACATCAATTTCTCCATCCTGACACAAAATTTTCACACTTTGCTTATAATTTCCAGACTTGGTGCTGACCCTTTTAACTGATTGTTCCAATATAAGTTCTCGATTATATATGGAACTATCCCCAAAATTGTGCTTGGCACCATTATGAATGACTCTGAGTTCAACTTGTTCATTATCGCCATAGATATTCGATTTTAGAATGCGAAATTGAGCAACAAAGTTATCAAAATTTTGCCAGTATTGGCAACCGGGTGGTATACTTGGGTTTCCTGCTTTATTGTTAAAATACCAGTTCCGTAAGAGTTTCCCATTTCGTGACGCACCCGCCATTATCCATAGCCAAACATATGGACATGTGAGATATCCAACCACTTCATCCGCTCTTCGACTTTCAAATCGAACTAGACCAAATTGTGTTACATCATCTACTGTTATTTTTTTTCCCTCAAATGTAGCAAGTTTTTGATTTTTGTCAACTTGCGTACGTGAAAGAATAATGCGAAGGACTGGTTTCAAATAAATGGTTTTACTTAACCATTCTTGATATTTATTACTGATATTTGATCGTACATCATTTATCAGATCAATAAAATTAATATTGTCCAAATCTTTTCCTCTAATAGACTCTTCTAAAGCCTCCAATGCACGCCCATGTCCACCCATGTCATTTATGAGCATCTTCATGACTGGATTATCGACAAATACTGGGTTGCCGTTTATTCTCGGAGGTTGTAATGATGTCACTGGAAGAAAAACTCTCAATTGTGAACTGTCAAGGAAACTGTGAATGGGCATGCTAATAGTAGCCGTACAACAGGTAATAATAAATGGGCCAAGAAGTGAAAGTATACAAAGTATAGAGATACAATCGTAAAAAAGGAATCCTTGATCCGTTCCATCCATGGCTTTTTTCATTGCTACTTGTATACCATCCAAAATAACAATCACATTCAGATCATTTAATTTTTGATTACGATGTTTAGCAACTCTACTCAATACCTCTGCTGGAGTTACTTTATATCGATTCATATAGGAATCCCAAGATTCACCAGGCTGTTGTAACAACTGAAAGAGCATTCGATTACCAATTGCATAAGAGCTATTTGTTTCTACCTCCCGAAATAGTTTGGTCTCATTTTCAAATGATAGATTAAATACAAGAGCAGACCTAAGTCGATTCTTTAAGTCAATATCATTTGTACATTCAATTAGCAACTTTGGCAATTCTTGTGCAGTGCGAGATTTTCCTTCTCCAGCTCCTGCTAGAATGAAGTATTGTGGTATTGTTGTTTTTTCACATTTTCCAGCCTTCCAAAATTTGAAATGATTATGAATAGCATGCTTAAGTTCTTGTTTTAAAGCTTCTGAGGCTTGAAAGTCCCAAGAGGAACCACCACCCTTGAGAAGAGATTGGGGATCACGATATTTTAATGTTTTAGGCAGAGTTCGTGCTGGAAAAAGAAAGGAATCAGATATTTTGTTATTATACATTTCTTGTTCAAGAGGTAAAACATTGGGATACACTTACCAGTGGTGGCGGACAGTGGCAGTTGCACAATGATATGGATGTGTTCAGCAGTAAGTTGCCCTTCAAAATAACCTCCAATAGTTCTTAGGTCGCTATCCAGTTCCTCCCCTCCAAACTTTACTTTGATGTCGATTCCTTCGTATATCTCATATTTCTTGCTTTCGGGAATATTTACTTTCCATAATTTTAGAGCACTTGCGTCAGTATTTCTAAGAGACACAATTTTCTTCTTCTTGATGGCTCCTTTGAGATGTCCGATGGTCTCTCCTATATCACAATCAACAGGAAATACGTTCTTTTCGCCTAAAACAATACAACCTAGCATGATTTCTGTATATCTGTAAACATGAAAAATCGAGTTAAACCAGGATTTAAAACAGATTTTCCAGTAAATACAAATAAAGACCTCGTTAAAGGACTGCCTAGAGGACTGATTAATGAACGTTTCTTTTCATTCATTTTTGTATATACTGTAAGTCCAGTTTCTGTTTACATAATCTGATGTTTCAAAAAAAAAATGAAAACTTACCAAATTTATACATATTTTAGCTAAAATAGGTGATATACAGTACGTCACGATTGATTTTGCGCAGTACTATATTTAAAAGAGGAATGCAACATAAATTTCGGCGGGCTTTACTATAACTATAATATTGGTATTATGTGTATTGGTATTTTGTAGACAAGCGAAAAACTATAAAAATTAATATACTGTAGAAACTTCATTTCACTTTGTAAACAAGTTTATGTATTACCGAATCTTGTAATTTATTTTTACATCAATAAATCAGTAATTCCGATCAAGATATTACCTCGTTTTTTTTATCCATGTTAATGAACTTTTGAATTATTCCATCTTATATAAAAATTATCATCGAACATGCAATCCAACGATTCATTAAGGGAATTAAATGCCAAGCTCTTGATTGAGATTGTCAAACTTAGGAAAAGAATGCGAGATCGAAGAAATTATTGAGGAAAATGTAAAGCGTGATGTTAGAGTCGAGGAATTAGTACAAAAGAATAAACCAGACTCGCTATATTAAAACAGGGAGAAAAAGGTACTTCCACAAAAGATGTTTCGCGATCTCCAGTAAATCCTAACGAACGATACTCCAGCATCTAATATACCTGATAATACTTCAAACCCTAATATTACTCCTGAACGAATAGAAAATAGCTCTGATATAACACCTGGTTCTGATACATACCAGAAAAAGAATAGCCGACCCTCCACATCTTTTATTACTATAAAAACTGCATCATCAGAAGAGAAGAAATTAATGATTTCCTGGATAGAGTACATAAAGAAATGATTAGTGAGAAATAAGAGAAAAAGAACCGGGAAAAGTATCTTAGATCTCAAGACAAAGTATAGAAAATCATGTCAGAAATTTCTGTAAACTCAAGTTCTATTGATAATGATAATATAGATAGTGATGTGACGACCACTACCCAGGATGAAGCGCCCAGCAATACTGACTGCACACTTTTTAAAACTTTGTGATGCTATAATTCTTGCTGATCGTAAAACCCAAGAAGCCATCACGTGTTATTGCCTATTTGGAAAGTAATTTATTCAAAGATATAATGAAGTAGCATCGGAAAGGTAAGTTGATCCAGAATCCAATATTGTTAGTAGAATTTGAAATAAGGAAGTAAACCCACAGACACTTCTGATAGCCTTTTACATAATATAATCGAAAAGCAAAAAAGATTGTGAACTTTTTGATGTAATAGGTATGGATAAATTTTATTGTATTCATTCCTTTTCTGCTAACAGTACATCAAAATTAATTATTTTGTTAATTAAAAAATATTTTTAAGTACAAATTTTTTAATATACAGTGGTTGCAGAAAAGATCTGGACTTTTCTCGTGACTAATAAAAAACTCATAAAATAGACTTTATTTGCATAAAAATTCGTGAAAATGATGACAATTGTCATAAAAAATAAATACATAAATATCAATAGTCAGATTTTTTTTCCCTTCCTCCAATCACTTGTTCAAGACGGTTTTTCATACTACCTGCTAAATTAAAGTAGAGATCTTAATCTAAACCATTCCATTCTTTTTGAATAATCAACCAAAAATCAGTAGTGCTAATTTTTTTTTATAAGCCTATTGTTTATGGTTTTCTCTACTCTATTTTTTAGTATGGCCCATAAGTTCACTATGGAATTCAGATCAGGCGAATTCGAAGGCCAGTTAAGCAATCAAACATGATAATCTTCGAAAAGCTGACATGTAACCTGAGCCATATGGACAGAAGAGTTGTCTTGCTGGAAATGCTAGCCTCAACCTGCTCACGAAACATTAGGGAAAAAGTGGGTTTCAAGAATTTTGCAGTATCTTTGTGAGTTAAGGTTTTCTGTAAATAAAACTAGTATGATTGGCCCTATGCAAAAAATGCTCCACATGCATGAATTTTGAATGGGTGTTTTACTATGCTATGATGCAGACACGGGCTTCTACAATGGTATCTTACTTGTTGTGTGCTTCTAAATATTTGTAGTGTTATTTCGTCAGAAAAAATCATGCTAGACTATCTGTCTTGCACATGTTCATGGGTCCATTCGAGATAAGTAGCAATGTGAAAAGGTTGAAAAAGGAGAATGCGTAATGGTCGGCAAACAATATATTGGAGGTCCTTTTTAAGAACTTTTTGAATAATACAAACTGATATATTTAAGTTGGAGTGGGTTTTATTAAGTCTAACAGCCACTTCAGGGGCAGTAACCATATTATTGGCTTATATGAGTTGCCCAAAATAATGACACTCTTTCGCTGTAAAAATTTTGGGTCTTCCAGAAATAGAAAATGAATATCTCTTTTTTTGAGTTGATTTATATGATTATATGTTGTACTCTTTGAAAAACCTGTAATTCATATGATTTCAGCAGGTTTTCTTATACTATTATTCCATAACTGTCTTATGACTGTTCTTTGCACAGTGAGATTAGTATTGGGCAACATTTTTTATGTCTAGTACTAATTTAACAGCTTAAAATAGTGAGTTATTTATATAAACCAGTGTGCGTAAGTCATTTAATATAAATAACTCATTATAAAAATGTATTTACCTAGAATTTGGTTATTATTACACTTTTTTGTGTAATGAAACAAAAGTCCAGATTTTTTCTGTGCCCACTGTAACTAGAAAATTTATTAAATTTGCAAATTTAGAAATTTTTATATTTATTATATTTATAACTGATTATTGTATAATTAATACAATATTATTTTTTTCTTTATTATTTGTTTATCAATTCTTCAAGTGCTTACAAAACATATAAATTTATTAATAATTGTTTAATTAATTATTTTTATTATTTTATAACTGTTACTGTTTTTTTAACTAAATTTTGAGCCAGTTCACAAGTTATACTCTTTATTGATAATATTATGGTGCTATATAATTTATTATTTGATTAGCAATAAAAAGTATTTCATAAATAAAATTTAAAAAATTTAAATCATAAATATTATAAACTTTTAAAAATTTGATATATATCAAAAAATACTTATTATTTTAACTTTAATTCTTTATTTAATCAAATAAAAATTACTATTATTAAAATCTTCCTTATAATAATCAAATTTATGTTATTAATAAATTATATTCATTTTAAACATGGTATTACAATTATATATTTCAAAAATAAGTCTATGCAAGCCTATATAAATTAAAAACAAGATATTTTCAAAGTCCTATTTGTATTTTAAAATAAAAACTTTTTAAAATTTTCTTTATCAAATAAATCTTTTATTAATTTTACAAATAATTTTTTTCCATAAAAATTCATTATTATTTTATTAATTGTAAAATTGCTTAAACTTTACATAAAGATAATAACAATATCTTTTATATAACTTAAAAAATTATCAAATCTAATTCTAGTTTGCCTATATATGACTATATAAGCATTAAGAAAAATATATTGTCATATATCATTTCTACTTCAGGAAAAAGATAAAGACAGAGAACCAATAGCAGAGAGATACTTTAGACAGACAAGGCCAATGTGATATGCTAAAGTTCCAAGAGGCATACTAATTAATACAATTCTAAGATATATGAAGTCAAAAGAAAAAGCAATAGTGATTTGTTTTTGTAAAGGTCAAGATATTTATTTGATAAAAATATAAGTTCAAGCTTGCCAATTCCTAGGCAAAATTGGAGCCTTTACATATATGTTTAAATTATAATATTTTCATATATGATAAATATATGCTATGGTAAAGATATAAACTAAGATATAGATATTATTTTCATCAAAATATTCAATTGTATTAGCATTTATATAGATAAATACTTTGGTGAAAATAATATAAAAAGTAAAAATAAAATAGGAATATTCTAGAAATAATAAAGATACAATAGATATAATAGATACCAAAGATGCAGTAACAGATCTGTAATACAAGACTATTCTAGAACAATTAACATTTCAAGAGTCAATGCTAGTGAAAATCAGACAAGAGGTAGTAATGATCTTGGATAAAAATTAAGTGTAACAATTCTTCTCTACTAATTTATGAGTTCTACAAATTTAATCTTGTGTTAAGATAAATAAAATCAGAGTGTAACAATTGTCTAATTAGACAAAGTGTAATAGATTGGATCCTATAAATTTGATGGATTCCAACTTTGCTAAAAAAGTAATATGTATATATAAAAGCTGAAGAATAATATCTAGTAATCTGTAAATTTAAATAAAATATTATGTTTGGCTAGGAGTTGTTTCCAATAATTTCCTAAAATAGTAAGCATATATGAGAGTTATGATCCTGTTTTTTCTTTGAAATGTCCTTTATAACTTTTAATAAGTGTTCAAAAGTTGTATTTCAGTAGTCTGCAGAAGATAATAGAAGGCTAATGCAATATCTATATCTTCAGGAGTGTTTTATAGAAGATCTTTGACCAAAATAGTATAAGCAGCCATGTGATTATTGATTGCATGTTGAAAATATTCAAATTTGAAAAAGAAGCATTGTCATATATCATTTCTATCTCAGGAGAAAAATAAAAATGGAGAACTAGTAGCAGGGAAACACTTTAGATGGATAGGGCCAATGTGATGTACTAAAGTTCCTAGAGGCATACAAATTAGTACAATTCTGAGGTGTATGAGGTCAGGCGAAAGAGGCAATAGTGATTTGTTTTTCAAAGATCAAGTTATTTATTCGATAAAATATATGTTCAAGCCTGCCAATTCCTAGGCGAA